TGTAGGGCCGAGGTTGCATCTGCATTCAATGCTTCTTAAATGCCAGAAGGCTAGAAGGCTGAGAAAACCTCTTTTCGGAGCCCCTTTGCTGATATTTCCGAGCAGGTTTACACACAACCGAAATCTGCTGAAAACCGCATTCCAAGGCTCGAGCGTCAGCCTTACAGTCGAGGTCGAACCTGCCGTCCGGCTTCACGGCCCTGAAGGCTGTTGAAGGAGTTTGGGCAAGGAGGGGGCTGGGGCATTTGTGGTTTTAGGGCTCCTTGAAGGTTGGGTATCTTAAGTCTTAAGGGCTGGGGGTCCGAGCTTGAAGCCACCGACCCCGTAAACGTTGGAGCCTCGTTCTTCAATTCCGACTGATCTTCCCTCTCAGGCCACGGGCCCAGACACACTTGCCCATCATTTCGGCTTCTGTCTTGATTCCTTCATGCTTTAGGGCTGTCGAGCCTCGGAATCATCAGCGGTTTACAGGTATTTAGGGTTCAGGGGTGTCGTGGCCTTTCGGATCGATGCCGTCGGCTTGGGTTGTTTAGGACTTCAGTCGAAGTGGAGCCAAGCGCCAAGGAGCTTCAAGGATCACGAGGGTCTAGAGGGTTTAGGGGGAGGTCCTGTTGGTCCTGGGTTCGTATCTGTTTCAGACGGAGTATTGCCGGTTTGGATACAGTATCAAGCTGTAGGTCGTTCAACATGCTTTAAAAGTCATGTGTGTGCATCACTCTTTCGCCGTGCCTGAGGTATGTCAAGGGGTCCCCTGCCGTCTGTACCGACTACTAGGGCTGCTGCTGAGGGGGTAGCATGCGGTTAACTACCACGAAGAGTGGCTTGCGAACAAATTCAGTGCCTCTCCGTTGCATGGACCGGCCTCAACCACATAATCTTTCGTCTTACCTCAATCACGATACAGTACTACCTTCAACCCCTAAGCTCTTGGGAGGGGGATATTGTGGATGCTTGTTTGTTCCACATCTGTCACGAGCAAATCGAAGCTGAAAAAGACCACAACCAGAAAACATAAACGGCCAAGACTAGCATGCCGGAATGACTGAAGCAAGATCTAGAATCCTTAGCAACAAAAGCCCCATGACTCAACACCTTAAGCTGGCACATGATACATGCAAGCTGTCTTCTTCCTTGAGGGCTCTGAGCTCCACACACGATCTTGGCAGCTATCCAGTTGCCCTCCCAGCATTAGACACTGTGTGGGGTGGGGGGGGGAGTGGGGGTGCTGTGTCTGGTTCGAGGCAGACGTCCAGGTTCAAGGCAGCTGCGAAGTGATCCTCGAAGAACACTTGAAACAATCCAGAATAAGCACCTGACGCTAGATTCCGCTAGATGCTGTTGAGCAAGACATTGAACCAGCCTGACACCCTAAGGCCCACAGCCCTATGGCCCTAAAACCTTTAGGAAAGTTTGATCACCATGGTGCCGGGCCATGGTCGCTAAACATGAGCCGAATGTCAAGGCACTTGGAAGCTAAGAATCACCCGTTGCAGCAACTGTGCATGCCGCCTCAAGCGACTTCATGCAGAGGGGTGGGGGGAGAGAAGGAGAGGCATGTAACTCTTGGAAGTCAGGTCTTTAGTTGCCTTGTAACACCAAGCTGTCTCTGATTACTCGGGGTCTCCATGCCTGGCTAGCGCTGTAGTACTCCACACGAGCACCTGACGAGCGTGGTGGAAGCTGGGAACAGATCGATCTCATGGCATTGGGCAGACCATCATTTTGCATCGGAGTGTCCAATTAACGCGCAATCAGAGCTCTTCCCGTATATACTTCGAGCATGCACAGTAAAACCTGGAAGGCTTGTCAGCTGAAGAACCAAACTCGAAGCTTGAGTCCACGACCGGCTTCAAACGAACCGGGCCTTGCGCAGCAAAGTAGCTGAACATTGCTGCGTGTCACTCATCCCCATGCCTCTTTCACTGGGCCTTGGATCCTTCTCACAGCACGTTTTGGCCCTGCCGAGTCCCCTGCGCTCGCTTCTTGCGGACATACTCGTCGGAGACCTGAATGTAGAGACATGTGACATGTTGCTCAGACGTGGAGCAACTGGAACCCGTTCAACGGATGTACTCTACAATGAACTGTCAATGTTAGTATCGTTTGAGTCTCCAATACAACAACAGGTCGGTTGGGTCGTTTGGTTGAGAACTTCAACTGCCTTTCCCAGGTTTGAAGGCTGGATTCTTTCGTGAAGAACGAGAAGATTGTTGAGTTTTCAGGAAGGGCGGAAGGGCGGCGCATTTCTAGGGTCATTGGCAGTGTTCAGCTCGGGTCGGGGTTACTGAGGCAAGAACGGTCTCCGGTGCTCAGGCTTCTCTTCCGAACTTCTGGGGGCAGCACGTCGGACTTGCAGTCTAGCTCCAGCCGTCCACTGCCCTTGACTTGCCTGATCGCTGTAGTTGCTGCTACCGTGCCCTGACGACGACAACGACACAAACCAGGGCCGTGATCTTGACGATAGAAGCGAAGATGATGGTGGTGATGATGATGAGGAGCAGGAGCAGGAGGAGGCGGAGGAGGAAGCGGAGGAGGAGGAGGCGGAGCAGGAGGAGGAGAACGAGGACGATGATTATGATGGTGAAAACAACTGATCAACTGTTCAGGATGGTGGTGATGGCCCAGGCGATGGAACAACTTTGACGACGGCAATGAGTACTTCAAAAGTCTGTGCAGTGACCGCATCGTGGCATGACTCTTGGTGAGGGCTGATCGCAGCTAAACTGACGCAAAGACCTCGAAGCTGACTTGGGTCTGCAGCGGGAATGGAATCCGAATGGTCCAAATTGACCACGCAGTTCAATCTTTACGGATAGCAGCCGAGTTGTGCACAGCGTTTTGTATGAGAGCAAGCCAGCGATCGTTCATGAGCCTTTCCTCAGGCTGCTCATATGATGATGCTCTTCGCATAGATCAGGGGCTCATGGAAACCAGCGACTTACGGCCCTCGAATGGGGCATCTCATCTTCTGAAAGCCCCATATTCAGAAACCGTCTTGAAGTCGATGCAGGTGTGTCGACAACTCTGCCAAGCGAACCCAAAGCCGACTGCTGCAAGCAAGAGGCAGCACTTTGGCCGGGATCCACTTGCCCTGCCGTGGGCGGATGGATCTGATAATTATGGGAGTCCAATTTCTCTCGGTGAGAGATGAGGCAAACACTTGCGAGGAGTAGACAGCTCGGAACGCGTGAAACAACAATGGTGAAAAGTGCTACCAAGGGCTGATGTGAACAGAAACAGAACAACCGAACAACAACACAAACAACTAAACAAACACACAAACAACTAAACAAACAAACACGCAAACAAACACACAAACCAACAAACAAACAAACAAACAAAGGAACAAACAACCAAACAAACAAACAAACAAACAAACAAACACACACACACACACAAAAACAAACAGACTCGCATAGGCGCATGCACACACACACACATGCTTCTTCACTAGCATATGTGGGTACTCAAGCAACAAAGACAGACGCGCCTGGTTCTACACGCATACATCAAGTTACGCAAAACAAAATACATGCCGCATATGATGAACTGAGATCTTCATCCGCATCTGCCATCAAGCCAGCAGGCACGGTTTTTCAGGCCTGGCTCACGCTGAAATACTCCACCTTTTCGCCTGGGCTCTGCACTATCAGGGCCGGGATCCCTGAGTTTCCGGAGCTTCTGGACTCTGTTTAGGTTTAGGGTTTAGGGTTTATAGGGTTTATAGGGTTTATAGGTATATATGGTTTATAGGGTTTAGAGTTAAGGCTCTTGGCGGGCTGTTTGACTTTGAGGTTTCCAAGTACCCTTGCTATATGCACTTGGCATTTCAAGCAGATCTCCGAGGACACGTGCATCAATGACTGGCTGCATGCAGACCCTGGTTGCTAGAGGCGACCGGAAAAAGGCGTAGGCTCTTGCAGGATTAAGCTGGCGATTTTCAATTCAACAGCCAAAGACAACTGTCTTTGAAGCCGGCGAACTCGAAGAACATACAGCAAAAGTTCACGAATGCTATCCACAATCTGCGCTGGCATTCAATCCTCCACTGTCAGAAGCAGCATTCGATTTGTATGCTCATTACAAGCGGGCGCCGACAAAGCGATGTCTGCTTGAATACCTGTGCTCCCTGTCCATCTACATTAAATGACTTCGTCTCGAACCCTCTAGTGTGGGCTTTAACTACTACGGCCTACGACGGTTAAGGGCTTTGGGGTTCAGAGTAAGGACTAAAGGTTTAGACTAGAGTTGTGCAGCCAAGAATGACAATTTGCCAGTTCCTAACAAGCGAAACTGTGCAACCCGAAAGTACATCACAACGAAGCTGAGCCGGATGCCTGTGCTGTAGATGGACTCCTCTCAAGTTCATATTCTGCAGTTCAGAAATCTGAACTGCAAAACACAGGAGCGGTTGAGTCGATCTGGGAGTCTGAATGCAATGATTGTATTATATTATATTATATTATATTATATTATATTATATTATGTTATGGAAACTGGAGACCTCATGGCCTCGCTCAGCCTCGCGATCAACTGTTCTGTGCTTCGCCGACGAGGACCCCGAAACCAAAACACTTTCGATGTGGCCCGGACTTCTGGTGACCTTGGTCCCACAGCAGTACGAAAACGATGATCCATTTCTTGGCCCGTAAGCTCTATATATATATATGTATATATTTATATATATATATATATGCATATGTATATGTATATACATATATATACATACATATATACATATACATATACATATACATCGGGTGACGCCAGAGGGCGCATATGAAGATTTTCCGCGTCTGTTTGCTGGTCGCGCCAAGTCATGTGCTTGGCGCTCGCTATGCAGAACATGGCAGGCCCGGCGCACGGCGGTTGCCAAGTGGCGGGCTTGTCTGAACTCCCCGGTGCTTTGCACTCCATGCCAAGGCACCGGCTGACACAAAACTGGCTCGAGCAATCGAATTCGCATAATTTGTTTTTCGAGGGACTGCCTCCTGGAAAGTTCACACGGAGGTCTCAGTGGCTGCAGTGGTGGCCTCGGACTCCGTGTGAGACTCGTAGTCGCCGCTGGTCTTGCCCTGCAAAGCTCAGGCTTCCAGAAACTGAATCACTGCCCACTCAACCCTGACAGCCCACCTACCGTTGCCCTACTGGCTTGCCAGATGAAAGTTGTGCAGAACCTCCACACACCCAGCATCCTAGGTATGTTGCGAGCCAATCTTCAACTCGACAGAGAATCGAAGGATCCGCTTTGAATCTTGAGGCCCTTGGCCTTCTCGACGCTCTGTGCCGGTCCGTGGAACATTCCACCCATCTCGGACCAGTAGTAGCAGGGGCTCAGCAGTGCCCAAAACATGACATAGCCTGCATGGACCTGTTCAACGAAGGCCCAGCTTAAGCGCACTGAGTAACGATTCATAAGAGTCTGGGTTGAACAGTGTCCGCGAACTGAAGAGGGGCATGCCACTTGTGCATGGGTCCAAACGCCATTCGAGACTGCACCAGGACATAAGTGACCATGCGTGGCGTGGCTCCGCTTACGCCACTCACATGCAGGCTCAACATCTACCGGCAACCCTGAAGCACCCCTGAACCCCAAGACGAACAACAGCCTTGAACTTCGACCCTGCCTGGAAAGGCAGCAGGGCATCCTGGATCGGCTTGTAGAAGCAGAAGCCTGCAATCCTGGGCTCCAGATGCTCCAGCTCTATATGTTATCATCCTGGTCTGTATACTTTTGGGAGATTCTACATGGCAGACTTGGGCAATCAATCTTCTTGAAAGATAGAGAAGGCCTCATCTGGGACGATAGCAACATGATCAATCTCTCGGAATCAGCCGCCTCATCAGAAGGCCCCCAGTCCGTTCCCTTACAAGAATGCATGCTGCCAAGTATCACTGCCCCGAGGTTGCCACCGGCACCCACAAGCGCGGACACCACTGCGAGCTGCTTCCTGATGTGTGCATGTCGCCACCTCCTACAAAGAACTACTTCTACGAAGATGAGTTGTTTCCAAACCCTGAACCCTAACCCATGACCGTAGGTGGCAACGACAATCGTCCACTCATCCAAGCTTCCGGTTCATGAAGGGCACGATGCCGTAGGAAGTGCCCTCAGAGGCTAGTCGGGAAGGCTTATCCCAGGACAAATATGCTTTGTTGCATTCTCTTGTCCTATCCTATCTTAATATATATATATATATATGTATGTGTATATATATATATGTATGTATGTATGTATGTATGTATGTATGTATGTATATATATATGTATGTATGTATGTATATATATATATTGTGTATTGTCGTATATTCTACTACATCATCTTATAGCTTATAACAGCATACTTCACGGTTTGTTCAGCGGGGCCCGCCTCAGCCATCTGCACAAAGAGCGAGAAGCAAACCAAAACTGCCAAGGCCACGTACCAAGGCTGCGAATTGTCCACCTGAGCCACCACCACCACCACCACCACCACCACCATTATCATCACCATCATCATCATCACCATCATCATCATCATGATCTGCTTGCTGGCAGGAAAAGCACCCAAGTTTTGTCTTGGGACAGGCCTTTCCGAAGCTGAACAGGAAGATAGCTTCGAAGAACAGTGCCAGGAACTGAGCCCAAATGCCTTGTCCCGTCGAAAAGGCCGCAGCTTCCGCTTCTGCACTCAACAAGCACCGAGCCCTAACATGTGACCAAGTGAGTCCGAGATGCGGCCGCGGAAACCGAAGTACTTGAAGCAAATATCGCTGCTGATGCCTCCAATGCAACAGCACTAGCTTAAGAGTCGCACACGACTTGAGTTCAAAACATATAGCCTCCCAGGGATCTTGCGAAGAGGTTCATCAAGCCGAAAGCACCCGCCAGGGCGCTGGCATCACCTGTCGCCCAGTCGACATTCGAGTTGTATGTCTACGCGCTCGAGGATCGGTAACGAAGTTTTCTCATCTGATGCCAAATTACTGTCCCAAACAGCACGCACCTGCATCCATCTGGAAGTACGTCCGAAAATGCGTAGCCAACTGATTGTTCATTGCGAGTTCCTCACACAGGGCAAATTCGCAACGACAAGGAGCCAACGTGTGATCCTTGTAGAACATTAAACCAGTAGGCTTTAAGCTCGAGCGATTTTGCGAGTTACACACACACACAACCACTTCTAAACGCACGATTGCAGGCTGGGAGTGCTACAAATTTCCATGCCAGAACAAAGGTGTGAAATCTTGTATTCCTGACGTCTACACAGCTACAACTGCTGCACAAATCAAACATGCTCGGAAACCTTATAAAGTGAGCAGACGGGGATCGGTGC